CCTCCGAGAGCAGGAAGAGTCGGCGTTTGTCATGGTCTCGAGCTTCACGGCGCGTATGCCCTTCCTCCTCAAGCCTCCCAGCCTCTTTTCGGCTCACTGCCTGTGAGACCTGTAAGACACGGCCATCCATGGTATATTTCCCAGTAGGATCGTTGCTCTCGTCCTCGAGAACGGAGTGCATCTGTCTCGTTGCAGCTTTATGTCTAGGGTCTTTGCTTCGAGACGGATCCACGTCTCTGGGAGCCTCGCGGATACAAGAGGAGGCATCTTCCGCTTTGTAGAAGCAGACGAAGGCCGTACCCTTTGGCCGTTCAGTTGCCGGGTCAAGCACAACCCTAGCGTAGCGAACAGGGCCGAACTTGGAAAAGTGTTCGTGGAGAGTCTCATCCGTAGCAGAGAAGGGTAGATTTCGTATAAATATTGTTGAAGCATTTCGATCATCTTCTTCCTCCTCTTCCAACTCGTCATCTTCTGCATCACCCATAGATATATCTTCATCTTCGTCCTCATTAACAAGTTCAACTCCCCCATCTTCTTCATCCTCACTATTAGCATCTGACTCTCCATCATCGACCACATCAAGATGCTCATTCTCCGCAACAGCCTCTTCACAGTCTCCAGCCTCTTCCTTTCCATCGGACTCGCCTGCAGCTTTGTTCATACTTTCCCATTCGTCCTTCTCCACCGCCCAGTCGACGGCTAAGGTGCGCCCATCAACCTCCTTGCCATTGACGCCTTCAATCGCTCGTTCTGCATTTTTCCTTCCTCTCATAACCACAAATCCAAATCCAGCAACCCTCGAACCTTTTTTTGGCACGACGGCATGTTTGATCTTTCCATAACTCCTAAACAACAGTTCCAGATGCTGCGGTTCGGTTATGCTCCACGGTAGATTTCGTATTATAAGTTTTGGTGGTAATGATTCCAGCCTTCGCTTCTCCTTGAGCTCCTTTGCCTTTGACGGAGCAGAAGATGGAACACTCTTCCCTTGCTTTTCGTCAATTTCTCGATGGCGAGGTTCGGCAAGCTCAATTTTTATCTTCTTCCCCTCAAACACCGAGTTGTTCAGTTCTCTTGCTGCCGATTGGGCATCTTCGTGGTCTGTAAAGGTAACAAATCCGTATCCCTTGGACTGTTTTGTCTGTGGATCGAGCACAACAGTGGCATGCTTTAGAGGGTAGGACTGCGAGAAGTACTCTGTCAACGATTCTGTCGTCGCCGTTGTGGGTAGCGATCGCACGAAGAGTGTTCTGGTCTTGCGTTCTTTGGCCGGGGCTTGCTCTGCATCCGGAGCGGTCTTCTCAGCGGCGCCATTACCAATCGGTACATTCTCATCCATCTTGAAGCTCCCGCTGACTGAAAGTCTTCTTCTCTTGTTATTTTCGGCCATTGTCCAGTCGTTGGCTTCGTCGTTTCTCTTCTTGATATCTAGCAGTGAAAACAAAAAAGGATGAAAAAAAAAAAAAAAAAAACGAAACTTTTAATTTTAGCTTTGCAGTCAGTGGAGCCATCACGCAGAAGCCGCATGTAGTTATAAACCAACGTCCAACCAGCAAGAGGAAAGTCACTGACAACTACGAAGACATGAACACACAAATATAACGGGACAAGAGTGGCCATGGATGACGAGTATGGCGATATACAGGAATTTCAGGATATCATTGCGACCAGTGAAGCTATAGAGAATGCAGCCTCTGGGCCGTCGAGACAGCAGCAGCAGCATCAGCAGCAGAAATCAGAGTCAGCATCAAAAGCGAAGGTCCAGCAGCCCAAGCCGCAAGCTCTACCAGCGCGTCAAGGGCCGTCGTCCATCCTGGTCTCGTCAAGGCAGAAAGGGAACCCGATATTGCAACATATACGGCTAACGCCATGGGAGTATGCAGACATACCCGCGGACTACGTTGTAGGGACTACAAGCTGCGCGCTCTTCCTCTCTCTGAAATACCATCGGCTGCATCCCGAGTACATTTACACTCGAATAAAGGCTCTAGGAGGGAAGTTCAGGCTACGAATCCTGCTTACGATGGTAGATATCCCGAACCACGAGGACAGCCTGAAGGAATTGTCCAAGACGTGCCTGATCAATAACCTGACCATCATCCTGTGCTGGTCCGCACCCGAGGCAGCACACTACCTGGAGCTGTTCAAGTCGAGCGAACACGCCCAGCCAACTGCTATCCGGTCTCGCCAGGCACAATCATACAAGGATAGCCTGGTTGAGTTTCTGACTACCCCACGAAGTATTAACAAGTCTGACGCGGCCAGCCTGATGTCTACCTTTGGGTCGCTGCGGGATGCGATCAATGCACAGCCAGAGCAGATCAGTGCTGTACCGGGATGGGGGGAGAGGAAGGTCAAGCAATGGACGAATGCGGTGCAGGAAGAGTTCAGAACCGACAGGGCTCCTCGCAATGCTCCAAGAGAGCCTCAACCCCAGACCCAACCTCAGCCGCTGTCACAGTTGCAGTCGCAGTTGCAGCTCCAGCCTCAGCCTGGTCAAAGTGACACCAGACACAGTGCTGCAGACGACGCTGGAGAGGCAGACGAGGCTGCCATGGAGGCCATGAGAGAGGCAGAGAGCCAGCCTGCCACAGCTCTAGCACGAGCAGGGGAATCTTCCGAGGGCCTCAGCGAGGGGATCCTCGCCGCCCTGTCCAAGTACCGCAATGAATAGCCTCTTTTCTCGCCTCTACTCTACTTATGCCTCCTCAGCTGCTTCAGCTTCAGTTCTTCTACGCTTCTTCTACGCTTCTCCCTCTGATATCGCCCATCCACACTCGTCGCTGCCTTTAAGTGTATTAGTAATATTACATAACCTCCAGCTATAATTGGTATAACACGTGACGTCAGTGGATCTTCCCCACCTTTTTCCGCCCTTGGAACGTTCGATCTCGATCTTTTTTCCGCTGCAGAAAGCAAAAGGCGACGACGACGAGACGACGGGCGTGCGACAGCGACGATATCAACGATTGCAGCGAGCAGACCGCGAAGGAGACGACGGCCGCTCGAGCACTGGAGACGCTTTGGTATTGGGCTCCACGCTGGACCCTCGACACACGACACCTGGGCTGCCGGGATAGTTATCGGAAGAGAGGTGCAAGGGGCGATCGCCGGAGCCTGGTGGCGCCAGAGTCGGGCCTTTTCCCCTGAAGCTTCTCGCTGTTGGCTTCTCTGCTGCCATCTTCCTCCTCCTGCCCGACTGACGCTCCACCTATATAAGATGGCAGTATGGGGAAGTCCGCTGCAACCCTCGATGCAGGCGCGAACCCCAGCTCGTCAGCCAGCTCCCCGTCAGCTCAAGCTGCCCCAGATGGACCGCGAAACTTTGAGTTCGTCTTGGTCACGGATTCCGAGTCCAGAAGACAGGTTCGACGCCATGCGATGCGCCAGTACGTTCACCAGCGGCGGCTCGACGGTATAGCACGGCTCGAGTCGACACGCGTACAGGTTTCGGGCTGGTCAACAGGCAGCAACAAGGTGCAGGGCGAGGCCAGAAGCGTCTCGCCCAAGGTAGAGGAGCTCGACGACGACAGTAACGAACAAAAGGGACCCTGCCGGTCTCGCAGCCAGCATATCCAGCGCAGGGCTAGCCAGCGAGCAGCAGCCGTAGCGGCTACAACAGGTCAGAAACTTCCTAGGAACTCCGTAGGAGGCTCTCCGGCCGCCAGATTTCCCACAGTGATCCAAAGGCAGAGTCGCCCCTCGCTTCATTCGAACCATTCAACTGTCTTCCACTGGTATTGAAGGAAGCTGATAATAAACTAATTGATCACTGTAAGTCGGGAGCATTGACACATACACGCAAATTTACAGTATCTGACTAACCGCTTTTCCTTTTCTTTGATATAGATGTGACCAAGTACCCCATGATGATGTATAAAATGGAAAATGCCCAGCAAGACAACCCTATCCGAGCCATATTCCATAAAATAGCGCTCCATGACCCTGTCCCGTTTCAAGCCATGCTGGCTGTTGCTGCAAAGCACAGGGCTGGCATGGAGGGGCAGGTGGAGACCGTACAATCCCTGACACACAAGATGCGTGCGCTGAAACTCATCAAGGAGCGACTAAAAAATGATGATATCGATAAGGAAGATGGCACTTTGTACGCAGTCGCTAGTCTGACTGTTATCGAGGTATACACTTCATTTGACGTATGAATTATGCTCGTAAGCTAACCCAAACGTTAGAAATGGTCGAAAGATTCCGTCGTTGAACGCACTCATTTCCAGGGAATCAAACAGTTGATCCGGAGGCGAGGAGGCATGCAAGCAATGCGGACAAGAAGTGCCACTGGTCCGTTCTTGGAAAAAGTTGTCTACTGGTAGTTACACTCCTATTTAATGCAAAACGAGTATCAAAAAAACTGACTTTCATTCAGGGTCGATTTCTGCTGCGCTTCCAATGCCATCGTGGGTGCCGGCCTTCCCTGGACCGGTGAAATTCCCGATGTACCCCCCAAGAATCTCAGCTTCGTACCCCCAGAGGTTATTCCCGTGATTCCCGCAGAAGCCCCCGCAAGCGAAGACCCTGATGACATCCCCGACATTCTTCAAGCATGCGAGGATTTTCTTGCATTTTTCCGGTCCCTAGATGACCTGGAATGTGCATTCTTGTACAGTCAGCCGCTGCCGCCTTTAAGATTGGACGGGCTGGAAAGTCCACAGAGGCCCTTTGAAGAGACTTCCCCACTTTATACTCTTCTGGCTAATTTGCCAGATTACGACCACGGTATTCGAGATGTTCGTTTCATCGACGAATACACATGCATGGCCTGCTTATTTTACTTGAACTTTGCACTCCATGACTACTATTTAAGCCATAAAAACTTTGATGGCTATCTGAATTGGGTGAATAGTGCCATAAGGGCGGTAAACCCACGTTCAAGTCCAAGCATCGCCACACTCCTCTGGATATTCCTTAACAATGGAGGATTCCAATATAATGAGAAGTCTGATTCTGGGGAAAGAAACTGGCTAGTATCTAGGATGCTGCGTATCGCAAAACGCCTGGAATGGAAGCAGCACGGCAGTCTCTGGGACAAGCTGCGTTCTATTTTGTTTCAATTCTTGCTTACCCAAAGCCAATGCGGCCTTGGACGGTCGTTTATCAACGAGGTAGAGCTTAATGCTCGTAAAGAAAGGTTAAGTCGTGGCAGGCAGTTCATATGGGATGAAGACGAAATGAGGCAAAATATCCTTGGAAGCCTATATACTGGGCCTCCAATCTTCGGACAACCGCCTGTTCCTGTCACCATCTCCCATAATTATCCTCAAGGCTCAGTTATAGCCGACACTGCCATTGGTCTTTAGGGGCACGTTCCTTTATTCAAAAGAGAATTGGTGTTGGCCCGGAGTCTTACTGCATTTACCTCTGATGATTGCTTACGGGTATTGTGTCGTCTACCGTTATACATGTTGTTTTGGAATACTTTGTTATTTCTGGGGTTTGGGTAGAGCATGGAGAATTTTCTATTTATTGTCATTCCCCTTAGGATAGATACCCTCTGTGAGTTGGAGATGCCGCGTCTTGGGTTTTTTGTGAGAAAAGTATATACTGCGACGGCCTTTATGAAATAATATTTTTGGGGTGTTATATGATCGTGACTTGCAATGTCAGTTATCATTATATTAAAATATATCAAATCTGAGTGTATTTTCTGTTCCCTTCTCAGCTCTGACTCCAATTAACGTTACTTTGGTACGTTGTGGTAACTATTTTGGCGCAATTCACGTGATAATGACTCGCCTCCCTGGGGCAATGCTACAAGGACTCAGTTGTATACGAGCTTTTGCCACGCCCAAGAGGCTTGGAAAATAGGCAACAGGCAACCAGGATAGTGCATTAAGGACTAAATCTTCTGCGGTGGACAAAGAGGGAACATCGAGGACAAAGAAAAAAACAATAATGTTGCATTATTCGGTTTGGATTTCATATTCAAACCACCGTCAAGTTAGTGACACTTGATTTTAACATCGACAACGATAGCTATGGACACGGCCGAATCAAGAGATAGTGACGCTCCGTCGACCAGTCAGAGGAACTCGGCATTGCAGAGAGCGGTATTAATATCCTGATATCTAGAACCCTAAGCTTGCTCACGTAGCTAATCATGGCATATATTACTGTTCGCTCACCAGTGTGATAATTGCCGCCTCCGAAAGGTAAGTTAATGTCTATCTGGCATACAGAGGTATAAAGAGCCAATTGCGTTGACAGCTGGTTTTAGATAAAATGTGACAGAACTTCACCATGCTCCAATTGTCGAATTGGGAAGACAATATGTCGAACCACGCCTCGAGTGAAGGAGCAGCGCCAACGAGTATTAATTTCGCATCAATAGTATGCCATTTACCCATCTTTTTTTTACTAGCCCAGGAATATTTGGCTGTGAAAGATCGATACTAAATTCCCCTGGTAGTGAAAGGAAGATCGAGACTATCGATGAACGGCTGTCGACTATAGAACGATTGTTACAGGATCTCACTCTCTCGTTGCCCGCGGCCACAGCTTTACCATCAGCACCTAAAATACCACCAGCGCCTTCATCAAGATATCATGACGGCTCGAATGTACCTGTGGTCATACGAAACTCGGAAGAACCTGAGACGAAACGGACCCCAGAGTTCGAGGGCGAGTCGTCATTTAGCGCCCATTCGATGCATGCAGGCGCTCTTTTCGAGAATGCTATGAAAAGAATACCCTTTGCACATGTGCCCATGATGTCCCATGCCTTATCTGCACTGCAGGATATAATAAAACGCCAATCCCTGCCGTCGTCTGTGAATGTTCTACGATTCCCTGGGCAGCCGCCTAAAAAGAGGATAAATTTCTCTGACCTGGAGCTGCCTCCTTCAAGTGCCGTTTTGACTCTTCTACGGCTTGCAAATGGTATGTTGACATCTATATTCTCAATCAATGCTGTTGGTATATTGATTAGAAGAATATGTTTGCAGACAGCCCACCCCTTTTCTTCCTTACGCTACCTGTGATGAACATATCACGTTTTACACAAATGTGTAAAGATCTTTACTTTTGTACGGAAGAATACTCGTCAGGACGATTCGCTTCAGTTAACGCTATATTGGGGCATCTCTTCAAAGAGATTTCATTTCGTTTCAAGGATGATCCATCCACCGCGAAGTTCCTCGAATACAGCGAGCTCTGTATGTCGAATTTTACCGTAGTTATTAGCTCCTTTGATATGTTTCCAGAGCCAACTTTGGATAACTTGATGGCCTTGACATACGCTGTACGTTTGGCTCCATTCAACCGAGATCCCATTCCTTACTGAATACAACTAATCATTTCCAGATACTTCATGCAACTGAGTCCGCAAAAATATCACTATGCTGGAATTTCGTGGCGAGTGCTGCTCGAATGGCTCAGAGCCTAGGATATCACCGCTCTGTGGCATCTAAGGATGACAAGCCTGATGATGTCCGCCTGAAAGCATTATTATTCTGGTTCATATATTCTATGGACCGAAGTCTGTCCCTGTGTCTAGGAAGAGCTGCCTTACTCCCGGACTATGACATTGCGCTTCCATACCCGTCCCTATCATTGGATTTATCACTGCAGCCTTGGCATATACTATTTCATTACTGGTTTGACTGCTCTAGGATAACTGGGGAGGTATATGAGCACCTCTACTCCGTTAGAGGCGTTTCCTCGAGCGCAGAGATTCGTGCGAAAAAGGTCTATGAATTAAGCTATCGACTTCAGGATTGGAGAGATCAAGTCATTGCAGTTAGTCGCTGACCTTGACCTTGCAAAAGGAACCTGCTATATCTAACCCGTGCCTCTAGATCGATACCCAGGAAGCGTATCATAAAGCCCATATCCAATGGATTGTTCCAGCCTCGGAGTTGACATATAACCTGATAGCCACTATCATCCAACGCGCTGCGCCTCCAACTCAACCACCCGAGACTCCCTCTGGCCTCAGCCTGCAGTGTGTACAAGCAGCCCGTAAGGCTCTGCAGATTCACCAACAAATATTCCTTTCCCTTGAAAAGGCTGATTCATTCTTTTTCAGCGGATACATTACCTGGTAACGTTTACCTAATGGAGCAACCAAACAGATCTCTTTTGGCTAACTCGCACCATATAGGGTCCTTCTGCAGTGCCCCTTTGCTCCGTTTATGGTAACCTTCTGCCATACAATCGCAGCCTCAGACCACGATGACCTAAAGCTACTCGGGGAAGTAGCAACTTCCCTCCAAGCGGCAGCCGATGTATCAGAGGCAGCAGAGCGGCTATACCGACTATGCTTGGTATTTTACCAAGTGGCAAAGTTATATGTGGATGTCCAACCAAAGGAACCACACAACCACCCTGTGATACCGAAACCAGGGGAAGCCTTTGACGACTACCTTACCTCTCTCGGGTTCGGTCCTAATACACTTACTCCCGAGACGGCTGAGAGTAGCAACAATACCAATTTCAACGACCCAAATGAGCCTTCTATACCTGCATTCCAGATGCCGCCTGAGATGATGGAGACAGACCTGTCACATACCCTTGGAGACTGGTTCCTTGACAACCAGTACATGATGGGTCTGTTAGACTCTGATCTATAAGCACCATATTCCTGTTTAGGCTCTACTGTGCATGTCATACCTGTGACAGTCTGACTGTCTAGCGACTACTCGGCACAAGAGATGGGCCTGCTTCTCAAGATGTATCTGTATAATAAATAGTCCTCCCTCCTCAGTTCTCAGGACGGCTCCCCACTTAATCTAAATTTTAGTCTTATAAGAGGCTATGTTTTTTTTATATATAGAAAGGAAACAGGATGAAGTCGTATTGATTTAAGCTAGCAGTTTGCATATATCTTTGTATCTTAACCTGACATTAACTAAGATGTCTTTCTACAAAGCAGTTCTAATAGCACATTTGAACTGTCATGCGCATAGGTTAGCAAAAAAAAAATCTGATTGACCGTCATGCCTAGAGCAGTGGCTAGTCTTACCGGAATGATTTTCATCTACAAAGACACATCTACCAGTCAGTAAACACGACCACTAGCAAGCCAGGGTTGAAAGGACCTTACGTTGTCAAGATCCCACACGCCAGAGGTAGCGTAGATGTCCTTGGATAAGATCTCGCGGATCTCCTCAACACCTTCGGCAGCAACGATGAGGGTGCTCCCGTTCATGGGTGGAGGGTTCTCGCCCTCTGCCGGATGGTGGTCAAGAGTCGAGCCTGCAGCAGCGGCAGCAGCAGCAGCAGCAGCAAGGGACGTCAGAGCTCGGTCAAATAGCTAACTAACCGCCAGCGATGGATTGTAACTAGCCATGCATGATCTTACCTCCCATCTTAAGAAACCCGGACTCCAGTATCGGGCCGAGGTTCTGGAGATGAGTGCTGCATCCATCCATTAGCAGAGCACCTATTATGCACATCAAGCGGCCCAACGATATATGTCTGCGTCTCCTGCTCAGTTAATGTAGTAAAAGGGCCAGCTTACTTGCGAACTCCCACCCGCTTTGCCAGCATGCCCGGCTTATCAGGCAGCATGACGATCCATTCTTTCTTCGACGGCGCTGAAGTTGCCATTTTGCGGGCGAGGATGGGGGCCTGTGGCCGGAAACAGAGCTGAGGCTGAGATAGAAGATGAGGAGAGCTGGCGAGACGAATGCGAGGCGCAAAGGACGAGAGAGACAGCGAAGAAGAAGCGCGCAGAGAGACCGCGGGGTTCATGTTTGCAGCGAGTTTACGGTTTACGTATGGAGAACGCAGGCAAACAGCCGGTTAACTCGTTATTCGGGAGTTATAAATAGTACGACTGGTTGCTAGGGTCTGCGGGCTTGGAGACAAAGACTCTCAGGCAACAGAGGACTAGCTGCTGCCAGATGGTCCAATCGTCGTTATGTTTAAACACTAGATAGAGGCGTTGTGTAATATCATACATTCAATATGTTGATATAATTTTTACAGGTTCTGGTGACACCCAGCATATATACAGCTCGTGGTTTACTCTATCCATGAAGACAGCCAAGAGAGACATCCAAAATATAACTAGTTATAGGAGCAGATGCCACAGGATTACAGCTTCGACGACGGAGCATCCTCCTTGAGCATCGCTTCTGCGACTTTTCGGCGCTGGATTTTGCCTGTGCGAGGACGGGGTTAGTCAGTCATCTCGCTGTGACAGTTCTCAGAAGAAGGTATACATACCGGTAGCAGTCTTTGGAATTTCGTGGAGGATCCAGATCTTTGCGAGAGAGAATAGTAGTTAGTCAAGGTGCTGGCCAGAGATAATCAACATGTTTACGGCTTTTGTATACTCACTCTCTGAGGAACCTTGAACTTAGCGACCTTCGGTGCAATCTCAGACTTCAGCTGGTCCTCTGATATGCTTCCCTTTTTCTTGAGAACGACAGCCACGCCGATATTCTCACCGTACATGTTGTCTGGGATGGCAAAGGAGACGGCTTCGGCGACATGCGGATTCTGGGCAATGACATTGTCCAGCTCAATAGGGCTGATCTTCTCTCCACCCTTGTTGATCAACTCCTTGATTCGACCGGTGATAAAGACATAGCCGTCTTGGTCCTTCTTACCCTGGTCGCCGGTACGGAAGAAGCCATCCTTGGTGAAGGACGATTTATTGGCAGCAGGGTTGTTGAGATAGCCCTTGGTGACGTTTTCACCTCGTACACAGATCTCTCCCTCGGAGCCCTGGGGAACTTCCTTGCCATTATCGTCCAGGATACGGATCTCCACACCTTGACCAATGCCAACACTTCCAGGCATCCTCTTTCCCGGTGGGAGTGGATTGCTGGTCATTTGATGAGAGGCTTCAGTCATGGCATATGCTTCTAGAACAGGAGCATCGAACGCACTCTCAATTTCGTGGAACGTCTTGGGAGATAGCGGTGACGAACATGAGCGAATGAATCGGATCTTCGGCATCGGGGATGGGAATGGGTGCTTAAGAAGGATCTGGTGTATGGTTGGCACTGCCGTATACCAATTGGCCTTGTAGGTGATAAATTCCGACCAGAACTCAGAGGCAGAGAACTTGGGCGGTACAACGACAGAACCTCCGGACTGCAACGGGGCAAGGAAAGCAGCGAGGAGTCCGTGTACGTGAAATAGAGGCATGACAAGATAGGTTCGGTCATCGCTCGTAAGGGAATAGGTAGCCTGGATGTTTCCTGTCATGACTCGTTTTTAGATTATAGTACTGAAGTGGCTGACAAGCCGATGGATGGCACACCACTTACTCATCGTTCGAGTGAGGTTCTGGTGGGTGAGCGGCACGGCCTTTGGTCTGCCAGTCGTGCCACTGGTGTGCAGAACAAGAGCAATATCATCTGGCTGAGCAGTCTGGACCTGCAGGCCTCCCTTTCCAGCCAACTTGCCGTGTTCCTTGACATCCAGCACCACCTTACCGCCGTCGAAGTAGCACTCGGCAATGGCCGCATTATACTTCTTTGCCGCCCTCACTGCAGCGCTGTTCTGCGCATACGCACCCCTTGGAACAAGGGCCAAAGAGGAGCTCAGGTCGTCGATGTAGAACTCGAATTCCTCCTGCTTGTATGCCGGGTTGAGCGGCGCGGCGATCGCCCGCTGCCAGGAACTAGCAAGGAACGAGACGATGAACTCGTATGAATTCGTCAGGGCAATGGACACAGCAGCATCATGGGCTACGCCTAGCTTTGCCAGCTGCCCTTGGAAGGCCGCAATGTCGGCGCTGAGCGCCCCATAGCTGGCGATAAACGGCGCTGGCTTCCCAGGCACGATCACGGCCGGCTGATCTCCGGAACGAGCAAAGGCAGTCGAAAGGGTCGTCATTCTGCTATCCTGCGTGTATCTATGGATAGATCATGCAATACAGCCGTATCCAGGGCTGCCAATTCAGTACCTCTATGCAGAAGAAAAATAAAATCTGCAGAAGAGACCAAACATCCAAGGGGGCCTTTTGCTCCGTATATAAAACAACCTTGGGGATCTTCGGCTGCGGAAGTTCGAACGTTCGTCATTTTCGGCTGCAACTTTCGGCCCGTGGATGACATAAGCGTCCAATTGGAGATGGGGTTCGGATCTTACCCCGCACGAGCAAAGAGAGTCTCCAGCTCTTTCTTTTCGTCGCCGTCTTTCTTGCTGCCTACGGATATTGTAGTACATATACTGTGCGGCTGAGAGCCTTTCCTGGCCGGAGTCCGCTGGGGACAGCACCGTCTATCCCGTGTCCGTCGTCCTTCAGCCGACCATGTGCGTGCGGAGATGAGGAGATGCGTGAGGGGAAGTATCTAAACAACAACATTGGAAGCAACCAGCTCAGCTCGCGGATGCAGGATGCAGAGGATAGTGTGATGCTGTGACACCTTCAAATTTCTCGTCGGGCGTGTTATATCGAGCTGAGAGCTGAGGCTGTCTCGCTGAAACTAGTCAAACCCTGAAGAGACGAAAGTATCCAGGGATGGACTCTTAGAGCTTGTAGCCTGTAGTGAAATCCTTCTAGGAGCTCCTTCAATGCTTCCCTACAACATACTTGCAAGAGGATGACGGTCTGTCATTAGACAACCAGTGTATAGCGAGCACTGCATCGTCACTTTCTCATAATTTTGTTACATTTGTGCCAATGCCCTGTCTAGCCAATCATCTGGTATCAGTCTTGGTTCTATAACTTGTGCTTCGTACTTTAGTTGTTTAACTATTCGCCAATTAGATAGACGCACCATGAGTATAAAGTTATGGTAAGCCTCAGCTTCTCTCCAGGGTATATATAAGGAGAATCAACAATGGAATTAAAATAATAACGTACCTCGTATATAATAAGGTAGGTTCGCTTTCCCTCTTATAACCCATTCTAGGGCATTTGCTCTTTCAATATATAAGAGGATTCTGACTATCAATGATAGTACGCGATTCTTTATAGCTAGTTTAAGAGTTGTCCATTTTCAAATAGTCTATCATTAAGTAGTTAACAGGTCAGGTATTACTTTCAAAACTCTTTCGTATCTTCTCCGCACGGGAAATGATGGCGATATATCCGGGCGCAGTTTATTTATTTTTCTATCTAGATACGGGACCACTGTTCGTATAATAAGATCCTGTATTGCATGGTATTGGGCTTCATATAAGGGAGTGAAAAAAAAGACCTCTAAAAGCCTGGTATAACCATCTATCTCGCTCTTTAGCGGCCTATTATAACTTATCCGAGCAAAATTCTAGTATTCTGGATAGTTACTATCCTGGCCGCTCCCAATCAATAACTGCATTGATACAACAGCCAGTGCTCTTATTAACTAGAATATTCCTAGGGGCTAGATCGGTATACGCAGAATGAATCCTATAGTTATCCCCTAGCTCGTTCCGCTCACCTTTATCTACTAACATGCGACGGATTAAGCTTAACTTGACAAGGAAAAGGCTGAAATAAGTGCCTAAAAGGTCTTGGCTAGGCAGGCAACGATGGAGCCGGCCCGGGACGACAGCTTAACTAAATACCTGTAAGGAGGGATAAACCTTGGTAAACGATAGACGTTTTGGAAAGTACCATAGCAGTGTTGATTTATTCACCGACCTATACGGAGTATACGTAGCTCGTAGACCATATCCAGAGGGAACAGAGTCCTACTTACATGTAGTCGTAGAAAAGGAGGAACGCATCTGTTTGGTGGGAAATTTCTTATACACTTAAGCTAGCTGGGAAGAATAGACTCAAGAAATGTGACCTTTGGATTTTGCATATATAGTATGGAAGAGGTATATAACCAATGCGGATAGTTGGATCCACAAAGAGTTCTAGAACTGGGAGAAGGCCAAATATCATAGTCACTCTCGGAGACAAGGGCTGGGTCAGAAATCTGCGTCGCGCAACTACCCTCTTTGTCAATGTTAGGCAGATTGTGATGACCATGCCTGGCTCCAGGACTACTCACAGCCACCGGCGCCGCTTGATGGTAGTTCATGTACTCTAAGTCCAATGGAACGGCCAACGCGATCGGGCATATTCCCATAACCTCGTCAAAAGATTTGCGTGTTCCTTGTACAATCTTTTATCGCTGTGCTGGGGTTTAGTGAATCAGCAGAGGCTTCTGAATAGATCTCTAGAATGGCGTCGATCCATATCCTGTTGATGCCTGGCATATCATCCTCCACGGTCTACTTAACACAACACGCATTCCATTCTTCATGGCCCATGTATACACTTTTATATGCAGTGGGATTGTCGCAACTATATGCTCACCGGCCAGAACCTGGGAGGTCAGCCGATGATGATGACCACCTTCAAGTGAGCCAGAACCACAGACTTCAACATCTTTATATTTTCTGGCCGGAATTTAGTCAACCAGCATCCATACCAGCATCCGTAACCTTGCAGGCGATACGTGGGTTCTCGATCTCATATGGGCCCTTGACCATACGAGTATCTATTGGAATTCGCGGGAGCGTTGACTTTTAATGGTGATGAAACTCAATAGTGCATGCTCTTCGCAAACAAACCATACGCAAATAGGCATAATCAGCACGTGACACCGATATACCGGGCCTACCTTGGAACTTTTGAAAGCTTCCGATATGGACGAAGGCCTTCGTCGCAGCTAGCGGGCGATGCCAGTTCTAAAGAAAGGAAGATGCTGATATAAATAAAGGCTTCGATAGCAGATTCTCCCTCCTTTATATACGAAGCATACCAGGAAGTCTTTGAAATGTCCTCCGAGAAGATGACTACGCCCAAGCCGGGTATGTCGCTCTATGCGAATTTGCTCGACACTCACGAGAGCGCCTCCATCTCGCGCGCGCCGGTAGTCTTCAAACAAGCTACAGACGCTTCCCAAGATGACCCTGCCATGAAGAAGCAGCAGATAAGTGCCGGTAGAGCTTATACCCTCTCTCTTCAAACAGACTGTACCGACATGATTGGCTCACTTGTATCCTGAAAATCCTCTTTTGGTTTTTTCCTTTCTGTATGAACTACAGCTTCTCTACGATTTCAGCCCACAAAAAGACCACAGCTGCCTTCTCAGAGACTAAAGGCGAAATCCGGCATCTCGAAGCCGCCTGTTATCATAAGCTCAGCAAGTCCTGCAACCCCAGACCAGGGTACTACGAGTGGTGCGGTAACCGCGGGCCGTCCAACTGGGAAGTCGACGCTTGCAGATTGGACGGCCACGGCGGACGATGACGACGTTAATGGATACTATGGAGGAGAAAAGAGGCAACGCGGTGGTAGGAAGAAACGGAAAAAGAATTACGAGTCTGAGGTCATTCTACAGAACTGGGATGATATCTACGATCCAACGCGCCCCAACAGCTATGAGGCATACAAGCATAGCGATGAGAAGATACAAGAGGTTAGAGAGTGGAAGGATCGGCTGTATGCCCATCGCCTGGCGCAGCAGTATAACAGCGATTCGGACAGTGATGAGGAGCGGTCGAGGCTGCAAATGAACAGTACGTCGATATTTCTTATGTTTTATCGTTCAATCTTGAAGGTGATACCAACCATGCAATTTTTCTTGCAGGACAATTTGCTCCTCCCCCATCATTTGCGCCACCACCGAACCTGAATGCGCCCCCGGAAGAGTCTCCAGAACCTGAACGTACCTTCTCGGAAGCTGTCCCACAGCCTGCCGTAGAAATTCCTGATGATTCAACCGGCGAAGAGGCGTACGCGCGACGCTTACGCCTGAGTGCGAACATCAACCAGCCAGAACCATCCCCTCAACCCTCACAACCATCACAGCTATCACAACCATCACCTACAGATGAGGCTCCCGCATCGACGGCTCCGACTAGCCAGAACTCCAATACAGCCACCATATCCCGCCCTCCTGTTCGATACGCATTACCTGCGGCACCGGGAGATCTTCCTGCTACCGAAGCTGAACTTGAAGCGACTTTAGCGAATGAGCAAGAAGATGTAAACAAGGAAGGAGATGAAGATGCCCCTCGCTCCCTCAGACCAGGCCAGAAGGGCTTCGCTGAGCGACTGCTAACTAAATACGGCTGGACAAAGGGCTCTGGCCTTGGAGCGAATGAATCCGGCATAGTCAACCCGCTCCAGGTCAAAGTACAAAAACAAAAGAAGAAATCAGATTCGGAAGGACGCGGGGTTGCTCCGCCCGGCGGCCCGAGGGGTAAAATCGTCGGTGGTGGCAGAAAACAGGAAGAGCAAGGGAAATTTGGCCCCATGTCTGACGTTGTTATTTTGCATGGAATGGTAGACGGACTGGACTTGGATGCGGAGCTAGAATCGGGCGAGTTAATGCAGGAGATTGGAGATGAGTGCGGCGAAAAGGTATGTCATCCTTATATCCTCTTGAACTTTTGGCAGGAGTAATGGGGACTGACAGATTCGCAGTACGGTCGTGTTGAGCGAGTTTACATTGATCGAAATAGCAAAGACAGGATTCCTGTCTTTATTAAATTTACCAATCAACTATCTGCTTTGCGGGTGAGTTTGGGGAGCCATCGCTGGATGTGTAGACCTTGCTGACGGTTAGATTTAGGCGGTTAATGCACTCGAGGGCCGAATATTCAATGGTAATACAATAACAGCCCGCTTTTTCGATAGCGAGAGTTTCGAAGAGGGAAGATATGATTAGCGCAATGCCAACATTAAAATACTTCAATCCTGCCTATGTATTTGTAGATAGAATTGCACCCTCAAGCTGTGATAAATCACTAACTATCAGAAAACATGTTCAATCGCTGCATTTATTTATAGAAGCCGCCACAGAGAGAGTTTTGACTAGCACGTGATTTCCCCACTTCCCATTGGAACGTCAGTCTTGGCCTTTTTTCTTTTTCACTTTATCGAGCTTGAAGCCAAAGCAAGCAAAGAAGAAAGATCATGAAGAAGATTAAGAAGTGTGAAGAGTGAGAAGTGACTGTTTAGTTTGTGTCATTTGTGTCATTGTATAAAAGGGAGCTTCTATTTCTTGACATACCCTGGGTTTCTTCTTTTTTCAAACTCTTGCCACTCTGTCAGACCATACCTAATACCAGCTATCGAGCAAGCAACTTGCCCCGTTCAGCCCAAGCAAGATGTCTCTCTGTATAAACAGGCTGACTGAGGAACGGTAAGTGCCTTTGAAGCGTGTCTAGATGAGCTCCGTGCTGAGGACTAACACTGTTTTCTCTGGCGGTGCAGTAAACAATGGCGAAGGGACCACCCATTCGGGTTCTTCGCGAAGCCATACCGAACACCCCAGGGCGCGCTCGACCTGAAACGATGGGAATGTGGAGTACCGGGAAAATCAAAGACGCTCTGGGACGGAGGCCTGTTCAAGCTCGATCTAATCTTCCCAGACGGTGAGTTTGCGGACTGATTTCTGTGGCCGTCAAGCAAGTCAAGCTAACCAAGATCTTTTTTCGATTCTGTGCAGAATACCCAACAAAACCCCCAAAATGTATGTTGACCAAACGGCAACCGAAGATATATGCATGATTATGGTGTCTGACCATGAATACAGGCAAATTTGTTCCCCCGCTCTTCCACCCGAACGTCTACCCATCCGGAACTGTATGCTTGTCCATCCTGGCGGAGGACGACGGCTGGAAACCGGCGATCACGATCAAGCAGATCCTGCTTGGAATACAAGACCTACTCGATGACCCAAACCCCGAATCTCCCGCGCAGGCCGAGGCTTACAACCTGTTCAAAAAGGACCGTCCTGCCTACGAGAAGAAAGTACGGCAGGTTGTAAAGGAGCATCCTGCCGTCTAGAGACACCACGCCTTGCGGATTGATTCGACGCTTCATCTAAATTTCTCTATATGGTTTCTCTCTTTCATGCTGCACGTTAGCGCGGCGTTAATTCCCGTCCAGATCTACTTTTTGTCCCCTCATTCCTTGTCCACTTTGGTCTATCCACTGGGGGGCGGCTCGTCTATGTAGGAGACTTCGAGGTCTAGTTTATGAGTTTATGACAACGGCCTGATTAGATTATCTCGCACTTTTGGCTTCCGGTACTCTGTAGAAATCACTTCAGCGCTAAAGGGCGCCTGCGCGGCACCATCCTGCCTCTTCCTCGTCTGCCCCCTGCCTGCACGCGATCAGGGCGACAAGGGGCGGAAAGCAAATTACCGCCTGGCTGACAGCTGATTGGCGCGGCACGAGGCTCAAGCGCCCAGCTCCGTCATCGGAGGACAGGGAGGCACACGGGCAGAAGAGGTCAGCTTGCGACGTAGCAACTGGGGGCAGCGACTTTCTACGCAGACACCTCCTAGATACATAGCTATCCAAGTAAGCTACCTGACCGACACTGACTAACCGGCAGCTAGTCTGAGTGCTTCGGCTCTTGTCCTTATCGTTTCTCTCCCTTTTCTTTTTCCTTTTTTTTCTGTTACTCCGGGTGAGTCAAAAACTTTGATTCCCACCCTATAAAATAATTTATTGCCCCTCGGGAGAAGAAGCACAAGTCAAGGAGAACAAGGCCGAAGAGACAGGCGAAAGAAGAGAAGACGAAGAGCAAGAGGCTTCAGAGATCAGGTCAACTGGACTCGCGATTTCTTGGATTGCAATAGTTGGTTCTACTGTGATATCTTTACCTCCGCCGCAAAGATGTGTGGCATATTTGCCTGCCATTGGTATGACTCCCGCCCCGGTCAACTTCACCAGCTGTTTCTTTTCTTTCCTCCGCTGCTTCAGGATGGGCAATCGAGGCCTATACGATGTATTTGAACTTTGTGCTCACTGATATTTGCTTGTAGTCACCCCGATGTCAAGCAGTTCAAGCCGACTGCGTTGCGCATGGCGAAAGCGTGAGTCATTATTTCGGCCTTTCTGTGCATTTCGAGAGAGAGCATACTTTTCCCCTGAAGGGTGGAATGAAGATGATGGTAAAGGACATAACTCGCTAAGGCAAGATTCAATGGAACAGTTTGCGCCATCGAGGACCTGACTGGAGTGGAAACTTCGTTGCCAACAACACAAGTGAGTGGCAGTAATATATATAAAGGAAAAAGGGGACATGCTAACAGCCATTAGTTCTTGCACACGAGCGATTGAGTATCGTCGGAGTCGGTATGCTGAAGTTCTTATATGCTATGTAGGCAGGAGTGGTTGCTGATGCTTATGCTGGTAGACTCTGGAGCTCAGCCCCTGATCAACGATGATGAGACATTGGCGCTAGCAGTCAATGGCGAGATATACAACCACCGAATCATCAGAAAGGGCCTAAAGGTACCCTACAACTTCAAGACACACTCAGACTGCGAAGTAGTCATCCCATTAGTAAGTTTCTCTTCGATACATATACAATAAGCGTGGGTGCTTACTAGTTGACAGTATATGGAACATGGCGTTGATGCACCCAAGTATCTTGATGGCATGTTCTCCTGGGTTCTCTTCGACAAGAAAGAGAACCGCGTGGTAGCTGCCAGAGATCCTATCGGTATCACAAGCTTCTACCAAGGGTGGTCTTCCAAGACCCCAGGAGCAGTCTACTTTGCTTCCGAGCTAAAATCGCTTCATCCTGTTTGTGACAAGATCATTTCCTTCCCTCCAGGCCATGTCTATGACTCCAAGACGGATACAATGACCAGATACTTCCAGCCTAAGTGGTGGGATCCAACCAACGTTCCCTCGGCCCCTGTGGACTACAAAATGATCCGTGAAGGTCTTGAGAAGGCCGTGAGGAAACGCTTGATGGCAGAGGTCCCTTATGGAGTGCTTCTTTCTGGCGGACTTGACTCCAGTTTGGTTGCTTCGATCGCTCAGCGTGAGACGCTCAGGATGCAAGCTGCGCAGAAGGAATTGCTGCAGAACGGCGCAGCAAACGGCACCAGTCCAAATGGGACTGACTCCGGCCTTGTTGGAATCGATGACACCAACGAGATCTCCACTGTCAGCACCCTACCGCAGCTCAACTCCTTCTCCATTGGCCTGCCCAACGCCCCCGACACCAAAGCTGCTATTGAAGTGGCGGAGTTCCTTGGAACCAAGCACCATGCCCTCACCTTCACCATCGAAGACGGCCTCAACGCCCTGTCTGATGTGATCTACCACCTCGAGTCATATGATGTAACCACCATCCGCGCCTCGACACCGATGTACCTTCTCAGCAGGAAGATCAAGGGCATGGGCGTCAAGATGGTGCTCAGCGGAGAAGGAAGTGATGAGATCTTCGGCGGATACCTGTACTTCCACGCCGCACCAGACAAGGCCGCCTTCCACACCGAAACCGTCCGCCGTGTCAAGAACTTACATTTGGCCGATTGCCTGCGCGCAAACAAGTCCACCTCCGCCTGGGGTGTAGAGGCTCGTGTGCCTTTCTTGGACAAGCAGTTCCTCGAAGACGCCATGGGTATTGACCCCGCTGAGAAGATGATCAACAAGGAACGGATCGAGAAATACATTCTTCGCAAGGCCTTTGACACCACTGATGAGCCTAACACGAAGCCATATCTTCCCGAGAAGTACCTGTGGCGTCAGAAGGAGCAGTTCAGTGACGGTGTTGGGTATGGGTGGATCGATGCGCTCAAAGACAACGCCGAGCTGCATGTCACAGACGAGATGATGAAGAACCCCAAGCCTGAATGGGGAGACGACATTCCAGATTCCAAGGAGGCGTACGTCTACCTGATTTCCCTGCCCCCTCCTTTTGCAATTGAGTGGATAGAAACTAACAAGATTGCAGATATTGGTACCGCATGATGTTCGACGAACACTTCCCACCTTACTGTGCCTCCACAGTCAGCAGATGGACTCCAACCTGGTCCAAACAAACTGACCCCAGCGGACGGTTCGTCTAATTTTCTCTATACCTTTCAGCTTCCTACCGTGTCTCCATGCTAACATCATTGTCCAGGGCCATTTCTACCCACGTCGCCAAGTACGAGCAGTAAGAAGGAGTCCTTTGACCGACTTTTTTGCTCTTCTCGTCTCCTCCTCCAGGGGGGTATATCCATCCTGTCTTCCTCTTCCCCTTCGTCCTTGACTACTTCTTTCTCTTTGTAACTACTAAATGCAAGGACTCGGACCTAGCTAGTTAATAGACCATCATTCTTCTTCCTCTTCTGCCTTCTCTCCTCCCGGCCCTTTTTTATATATCAAGTTCAGCCCGCGCTTTTATATGAAAGGTACATCGCGTGAAAGGGGTCAGCCAATAGGAAGTCATCCTTTTTCACGCCCGTTTGAGGTTGCCCTGGCTGCCCTTCTCTCCACGTGACCCCATCGTCTTTTTCCCGTCTTTTTTTCTTTCTCGCTTTCCGTCTTTTTCCTTCTTCGCTCCATCCAACAACAACAACGCCAGCAACGCCAGCTTCACCAACCTCTCTCACCTTCATCAACGCCATCTTCAAGTCTCGTCCAAGGACTTCCGTCTTCACTATGTCTGCCCCAGCTGCTTACAGTGACATTGCTAAGGCTGCCAATGATGTACGGCTTCCTCTTTGCGCGCTGCTTGAACGGCGCCCCTCCCCAAACTTCCCCCCAACAACTTCGCTCTCCACATCACTCTCGGAGAGACAGCACGCTAATCGCATATTCTACAGCTCCTGAACAAGGACTTCTACCACACCAGCCCAGGTATGCAGAACTCTTTATCAATTGTTTTCGTTGCTGTGATGTCGTTGTCGTCGCTGGTGATGTTGTCCCTTTAAGCTTACGCGCTGACCAACTCAATTGCACCACAGCCAGTCTCGAGGTCAAGTCCAAGGCCCCCAATGGCGTTACCTTCAATGTGAAGGGAAAGTCTGCCCATGAGGGCTCCATTGCTGGATCCCGTAAGTCTCGGGTATTCGGATATTTTGTCTCGTTACAATTGCTAATCTTCCTTTGTCCTACCTACCTACAGCTTGAGGCCAAATACGTCGATGCTCCATCCGGTAAATAAATATACACCGACTTGCTGAAGCTAGCTAGTAGCCAATTGAACCCGACCGACTGACTGCCACTAGGCCTCACTCTCACCCAGATGTGGACCACCGGAAACGCCCTTGACACCAAGCTCGAGCTCGACAACAACATCACCAAGGGCCTCAAGGCCGAGGTTCTCACACAGTATATCCCTTACTCCCAGTCCAAGGGTGCCAAGTTGAATCTCCACTTCAAGCAGCCAAACTTGCACACCCGTGCCTTCTTTGACCTCCTCAAGGGCCCAACTGCCAACTTCGACGCCGTCCTCGGCCACGAGGGCTTCCTCGTCGGTGCCGAGGGTGGTTATGATGTCCAGAAGGCTGCCATCACCAAGTACTCTGCTGCCGTCGCCTACTCTCTTCCAGAGTACTCTGCCGCCATCACCGCCTCCAACAACCTCTCTGTCTTCGCTGCCAGCTACTACCACCGCGTCAACGCCCAGGTCGAGGCTGGTGCCAAGGCCACCTGGGACTCCAAGTCCGGAAACACCGTTGGCCTCGAGGTTGCCAGCAAGTACAGACTTGACCCATCCTCCTTCGCCAAGGTATATACTTCTAACCTCAATTCTCCTGCCCCGAGACTATGCTTACCATCGCAACTATAGGCTAAGATCAACGACCGCGGTATTGCCGCCCTCGCCTACAACGTCCTTCTTCGCCCAGGTGTCACCCTCGGCCTCGGAGCTTCCTTCGATACCCAGAACCTTAACCAGGCCGCCCACAAGGTTGGCGCCAGCTTCACCTTCGAGGGTTAAATTAGTGCTATCCACCGTAGCACTACTTAACCTGTTAACCCATAACCTGCTAATAGGAACATACCGAATGCTTTGTCTTCTAGCGTTCCCCTGTACTATCTCAGAACTATGCGTTTCCTCTTGATATATTAAAGTTCTATAGCCAAATAAACTATTTGTCTTCACACCTTAGTACTATATACAATTATGCTTGGCTCGTTTGTTTTATTACATATACCATTCACATATTATTGCCTTGATTCGCGTCTTTATGCATATGACTTTGCGATGAACTCGACGTATTTATTACGTTTTTGGTTAAAGTTTTGTCCTGTCTAATACCATTTATATACATCCCCGTTATCGTCCGGTCTGGTGGCATTATTAAACAGTCAACCCGTCATACATATCACTTCCATACTACTTTGGTTGAGATTCTTTCTGTCTCGCGGACAGCTCCTGCAAACCAGGTTCTTTCATCCTCATCCTTCCAAGGCCCGCACTCAGCATGGCCACAGCCAGAATCCCCGATATAACCAAAAACCTCATCGTCATGCTTCCCTCATCGTATCCACTTTCAAACGAATGTCCCTCCGCCGCTCGTCTCTTCTGCTCTTCCACGCTCCTAGCCCGCCTCGCTCGCCGTCTCATATCCTCATGCGACTGAGTCCGCCGATGAGATCTGGCATCAAAATGCGGAACATCAGAATGATAATACTCAGGATGTTCCTGCTTGTGCGGCCCAGCCTGGTGCTCATGCGACTGTCTCTGGGTCGTCCCGTACCCACCATTCGCATAAAAGCTAGGGGGAGGCCCCTTAAAAGTTCCCCGACGCTTACTTAGCCCTGATGCAGGGCGAGAGCCAAACTGTGACCCCCCTGCTGACGTTGAGGCAGATGAGAAACTACCCGTTCCGGGCCGAGTGGTTGTACTGGAAGCAGAAGGAATACGAATGCTGTTCTCTCGGTCATATCGAGCGCGCTTCTTGGGATTAGAGAGGACATGGTAGGCCGATGATATAGAGGAGAATTTATCTGCTGCTCCTGGTTCCTTATTTCTATCTGGATGATGGGCTAGGGACAGAGCGTAGAACTTTCTGCTCACATCGCGCGAATAACGATAACAGTTAGTGGAATGTTGCAAATGCCGCAGGACAGGGGGCCAATTGCGTACTTTTTGATCTCATCTGTCGTTGCAGTGACTGGCACACCGAGTATGTCATAGTATGTTTGAGCTATAGCGCGAGAAGCCGTGGAGGAGAAGGCGTTGCAGCCGTAGTAAGAGAGCCGTGTTATCGGAGCGCGGAAGAGGAGAGCCGGAGAATGACGCAGCCACGGGGTATGGGAACAAAACGGCATTCCTTCATATCTCGTGCCTGCTCTCCAGCTGCTGCGGCCGCTGTCGTCTCAACTCTTGGGTCGTTCTATATCCGTCGGCGGTCGAAGTTCAGACGGGACGATTGGAAGTTGACGTCGGAAACAAACTAGCTGGTTAGATTAACTAGTTAACTGGTTAGTTAGTTAGCTTATCGCCGATAAGGTCACATGACCGATAGTTATTTCTTCGCCCGCAGCGACGATGGAGACGAACACACAAGCAGAGAATCTCTACAGGAAGAGAGCTGCTTGGTTTCTCTCCTCTGCTTGCACTGTACAGGCCCGACTCTTTTCTGAATCCCAGCAGAGTTATATGCAGGGATTCCAAGAACGAGCTTCTTGTTTTTCGCTAAATTATTCTTCCCATCAACGGCAGAACTAACTATACGAGAACCTGTATAAAACCAACCCACTTCCCGCCCAAAGGAACAAAAACCAAACCATCCACCGATTTGAACACCTCGATTTGCTCCATAATGGCTGCTCAGGCTGCCCCGGAGCTCGCGAAGCTTGACTGTAAGTTATTGTTATTATTCTCCCTTTTTTTGTCCCCCGTCATAGCCCTTGCAATGTGTGGGTAGTCATAGAGAACCTAACAGCGAATCCTTTTTAGTGAACAAGAATACCGGTTCTGTCGAGGCCAACACCGTCTCAGCTGGTGGTTCAGAAAAAGAAGATGTTGAGAATGAAGGAGATTCCGACGAAGACAGAGATGATGAGCAGGCGGGCGGCTCTACCGAAGTAAATGGTTCGTTTTGACATTCGCGCGCCTGCATGGACCCTGCGGGAAAGCAATAATGCTAACGTCGACATTCAACTGTAGCGGAGAGAAAAGAGAGAGAGGCCGAAAAAGAGAGAGACAGCCAAGGTTCAATCGAGTCCTCCTCCGCATACCCTTGA